ACCCTCATCCCACCCTGCATCTCCTGGACACCTGCCCACCACCCARGACCCACATCCTGCCTTCTCTGCCCCCACTTGAGGTTGCCTGGGGCTACTCAACTTCCACAAAGAGGAAGAAGCCATTGGGGTTCTTGCGGAGGACGCGAATGGCCTTCTCTGTCATGTCCACGATGGAAGGGTCTGTGGAGGTGTTGCGGTTCAGCTCATAYTTCATGTCTTTGGGCTCAAAGAGGCCTGGAGGAGTGGAGCAAGGGACAGTGGTAGGGTAGCATGACACAGCACCTGGGATGGCTTGTGTCCTGCAGGAATCATTGCCCTCGGTGAAGGCAGTGATGTTCTCACCCATGAGGTGGCTCACGGAGTCATCATCAACTGCATCCAGGCCCTTCTTATCCCAGACGTACTGTGCACTCTGCCAGCAAGGACAGACAAGGTGCTCATAGCTCCAACCAGCCCTGTGGTGCCCGGGGACAGCTCCCCTCTGCCCCAGCCCAGGTACCTCCTTGGAGCTGAGCCACTCGGAGATCAGATCGAGGCCGTCCTTCCTGATGCCGCTCTGTGCTGGATCATCTGGGTACTCTGGATCTGGAGTTTCCTTGGGCGTCATGTACATCCGCCCGCCGCCCAGGATCACCTGATAGGGGACCAAGGTGACTTCGATCCACGCTGCCACTGTGTGGAGGTCCCAGCACCAAGGGGTCCAGCCTTGCAGCTCAACCAACCCTCTCTGCAAGCCCCTTGCTCGCCCACATCCCCCATGGGGTGACACCTGCCCAAGTCCCCAGCTCACGTTGATGTCCGTGTTGTGCACCAGCTGATAGGCAATGTCCTTGCAGCCGTCCCGCAGTGCCTCCTTGGGCATGTTGGCGTCAGCGTACCAGCTCCGGCTGACCGAGTGGGCGTAGGAGGCCCCGGGTGAGGCGTGCTGCACCCGCGTGGTGGTCACGATGCCCACAGACTTGCCTGCAAAGTGGGTTGGGGTTTACAGCCATGTGGGCAGAGATCCCAACTGACTCACCRAGATGATGGGGACACGCAGGGTCCTGTACCTGCCAGCCTGGCCCGGTGCAGGATGGAGTCCACCTCATTGCCGAAAGCAGTGTGGCATTTGCCGTAGACAGCGGCCCCGCTCAGCCCCAAGGTCTTGGCATTGGTCTTCACCCCACACAGGTAGGCAGTGCCTGTGCCAGCGCTGTCAGGCACCTGGCGGTCGATGCTGTAGGTCTGYAAGCCAGCGGGGATGAAGGTTTGCGGCAGTGGAGAGCACAGGCACCAGCACTGGCACTGCCCCACTCACCTTGGCCAGGGCCACGTGGGGGAAGGTCTCCATGGCCAGGACGTTGTCCTCGCCTGAGCCACCAGCAAGCTGCCCCTGGTAGATCCGAGCTGCAGAGACCGTGGGCAGCCCCATGCCTGTGGGCACAGCAGAGCATGAGGTGGCAAAGGACCAAGACTGCTCAGGATGGGCAGGGAACACCTTGCAGGTGGCTAGCAGGACGCAGTTGGGCTGACCCAACACCCAGGGTTCTGGTGTCGCCGTTGCTGTTGYTCTCAGCTACCAGCCTCCAAGAAGGGCTGAGCAATGGCCCTGGGCACTGAGGCCCTCTATGGAGCCAAGGGCCAAAGACTGGATCAGTCAAGGAGAAGGATTAGGAGAAATGGAGGGAGGTGTCAGATGGAGGACAGACTTGTCCACGGGGTGTAGGTGGWAAGGGAACTGGGGATTCAGTAAAGTTCCCCCTTTTCCCTCCCCAAGGCTCAGACATGTTCCATTCTCCTTAAGGACTCCAGGGACCAACTCRCTCTTTGCTGCCTGGAGGGGCTCCCCCCTTGCCTCACCAAGACCCCAGCATTCCATGAGGGAAACTGAGGCACGGGCTTGAGTGGTGCGTTTGGCCCCTTGCTATGGTTCACAGCTTTGCAGATGTCTTGCTAGAGCCATCTCTGGGTTGGCTCCGTGTGTTTGAGACACATCAGGACCCTGGTCTGGGGGACTCACCGTCACCCATGAAGAGAATGATGTTTTTGGCTCGTTGTGTCACAGGCTGCAAAGCCAGGGCCGACTCCAGCCTCCTCCTGGCCCCTTCATTCCAGTAGTCCGTGGTCTTCTCACCACCTGGACGTGAGCAGGGGACGCAGCGCGATGCCGAGCTCAGTGCTACAGGCACTGCCAGGGCCCTGGGCACACTGAAGGGCCTGGGGCAAATCCCGCTGAGGGGCCAGGGTGGGCATCTCCACCCGAGTGATTTTAACCCATTTAGTCCCATTCTCTGGGGCTCCAGATGGACCAGGAACCATTTGGGGGATCAGCCTGGCCTTTGTCAGCCACAGTGTTGTCCCACGCCTGTCTCTAGAGGGGGAAACTGAGGCAGGGCCTGCTTGGGAAGTGCCTTGCGCCTCTCTGCCGAGGGAAGCAGCCACGCAGGTGCCAGTCCCATGCAGTGTGTGCTACGGAAACCATGACCGGCCACGGCTGTTGAATCGGTTCCTCCAAGGACCTGGCAAGCAGCACTGCTGGGAACCTGAAGGGACTGGGAATGGCGGGGACGGAGCGCGGCTTGGTCAGGGCTGAGCCCACCCCTCAGCGGCTGGAGCCCCCTGAGGCTCTTGCCCGGGCCAGGAGGCCTCGTCCTCCCTTGGTGTTTGCCCTGCGGTGGGGCAGGACAGGCCCATCCTGCTGMGCAGCTCCCCGGGAGGTGACAGGGTGCCCCAGCGCCCCCCTTCCCGGGGCTCCCACCCTTGTGTCCCCCTTGGAGCTCTCACCTGAGGCTGCGGCCGAGAGCCGCGCGAGGAGGCAGAGGAGAAGGCAGCTCCTCGGGGAGAGCGGCCACTCCATGTTGCTGGAATGCCGCCGGCGTCCCCGGCCAGGGGCAGCCCTTTATGGCCCTGCCTGTCCSGCCGGAGGGCTGAGCCCCGCTGTGGGCGAGACCATGGGGCTGATAACATTCAGGGACTGTCTCCCAGCCCTGCCCAGTGCTCTCCCAGTGTCCGCAGGCCTCGCTGGCACCAGTCGCCCAGGGCTGCAGGACCTCCAGCCTGTCCCTGGGGCAGGCAGGGCCCTGAGGCTGTTTGGGGTGTCCCTGGCTCCCCCCAGCTCCCGTGCTGGCCAGGCTGCCTCCGCAGGGACCCCGGGCACGCGGGGAGGACGCAGGGCAAAGGGCTGTTATTGCAGACACGCCGAGGCCAGCAGCTGGACCCGGCTGGATTTGACTTGTTTCCCTGGAGAGATAAAGTGCCTGACTCCAAGGGACACCGGCTGATAGGCAGGAGGGGGACATCTCACCTTTGGTGTCCATGTCCTCAGGTCCCCTCTCCCAGGGGACACAGTTGCACACAAACCTGCCAGGGTGCTGGGACCATCTCAGCATCCCCTGCTAGAGGCCACCTTGAGGCAAAACGTCCTCTCCTGGCGTACCCGCTCTCATCCCATGTTGGAAAATATCTGCTCTAGGCTATGGGGAAGAGCTCTGGTCCATCAAAACCAAGCAAACAGCAGCAAGCCCATGGAGGAGTCAGCTGCTTTGACCTTCTCCCTTGTCTGAAGTTTGAGGGAGGTGACGTCCCACGCTGAGCACAGCCAGACCGAAATGCCAGGCCATGGCACATGGAGCACACGTCATTGCTTCCACAGCTGGACGGATGCTGTCAGCAGCACCATCCAGGTGGCCTGCCAGTGACCAGAAGTGCTTTTCCAGGTCACCACCTCTTGGGGAACGTGTTGCGGATAGCCCAGATCCATCTCAGGGCCAAAAACCTGTTCCTGAGCAGGGCAGTCTGGTTTGGCCAGTTCCCCATTACTGCGAAGGGCAGAGGTACTTGTGGTGCCACCAGGAACAAACCAGAGTGGAGCCTGGCCCCCTGTGCTCCTTCCCTGCACGACCTGAAGGGTCCGTCCCCAGGTGCCAGGAGTCAATCCCTCCCTCAGCCCTTGCTCACCATTGCTTGGCTCTGCAGAGCTGATCAAGCGAGGCCTGTGTCCCCCAGGATCTCCTCACGGCAGGGCCAAGCACCCTGCAAAGGGCTAGGCCTTCCGGATGTGACTACAGCTCCCCAGGCCCCCCGAGCCCCTAAAGGGGCTGGATGCTCCTGCCTTCAGGAGAGCMCACCCTGCTCCTCGACACCCCGTTTCCAGGTGCTGTCACCCCGGATCAGGCTGGCCCTGACTGCGCTGGGCAGTCCCTGRGCCAGGGAGAAGTGAGAGGAGTCTGAGAGCTGGTCTGGCCTGTGGGAAGGACTAAGTCTCTTGCCCACGTGCCCACGTTGCAGGTCGCTGCCTGTGGCCCTGGTGACCACCAGCCCTGGCGGCAGCCGGCTGAGGGCTGGTGTGGGACAGGGCGGGTGGGGGACATGGGGACAGCAGCGGGAACAGTCCCGGGAAGGGGCTGGGTGCCTGCTCTCTCAAGTGGATTCAGGAAGCGAGGACGTGGCGGGTGATCCATGCGGATCTCTGACGAACAGAGTGCAGGCTCGGGGCGGGCGCGGAGCCCGGCACAGCCCCGGCTCCGGCAGGAGGGACCCTGAGCAGGACTGGGCTGGGGGCCAGGGCGCCAGCGGCCAGMGCAGACAGCGCGAGGCCCCGGCGGAGGAGCAGAGCTCGGGATTAGCGGCTGSAGCGGAGCCGGGAGCACCGCGCGTCCACCTGATCCCCCACCCACGCGGGGCCGGGGGGAGGCGGGCGGYGCCGCGTGGTTGCACAACCGCCCGGGCAGCAGCAGGCAGGGCAAGGCACAGGGCTGCCCGGGGGATGAGTTATTGCTAGGATTCCTGGCCGGGGAMCATGGAGGAGACCAAATGAAACCCGCACGCAGTCCCCGATGTGGCTGCTGACCCGGCTTTTATTACATGATGTACAACCCAGCACGAACCCCTCTTGCACAGCCCCTCRGCCTCCTCCCATGTCCAGCCGCCCAGGAGCAAGGGCCAGGCGTGGAGCACAGCAGCCCCTCTGCTCCCTGGGGACACCCGCCRCAGCCACCCGAGGTGACAAGGGACGTTCACCCACTGCCTTAAAAAAAAATCCCCAAAACATAAAGCTAAAAGTATCGGAGAGCGGAAAGGCTCTGTCCGGGGGCAGGTGCAGGTCCTGAGCCCTGCTCCCAGTCCGACAGGCCACGTTAAAATCCAAAGCAGAAATAAAATACCTTGGGGTTAAAAACCAAAACCCTGAGCCCCTTGTCAGTCCTCTCCGTCCCCCGTGGGTGTCTGTGCGGCCGGTGACAAAACTGCTAGTGGAGCTGGTCGGGGGCAGACGCGCTCACTTCTCCGAGCCCGGTCTCTTCATCACGGCGCTGTACTTCAGCGGGGCACCCTCCGACTTCAGCACGACCTCCACCAGCGTGAAAATGGTGATCACCTTCAGCGGGGGAGAGAGAAGAGGGTTTCTGCATTAGCACCGAGCCAGGGTTTGGCTGGACCCGYGCTGGCTTTTGTGGCCCCTTGTGCAACATCCCCCAAGGAGATGAGCAAGGGGCATGGGGAYAGGATGGCCTGAAACGCTCTGCAGGGATGGAGGAACTCACAGGGCTGGGGCTGAGCAGCTCTGCACCGACACGGCCCCCGTCTGCCTGCACAGCATCTTCATGGGTGACAGCRCGGGGCAGACTCAGGAAACCCAGAGTGACCAAATGAGCCCCTCAAACCACTAACGCCAGCTTGACCAGGCCCCTGATCTGTTCTTGCACAGGAGTGTGGGTGCCTGTGCCCTTGTGTTTAGGTCCCGGTTTCCCCTAAAGCCCGTCTGTGCCTCGCTTCCATCCAGAAAATGCAGAACATCRCTTAATAAAGTGACTTGGCCAAGCGCCAAAGCAGAGCAGCAGTGAGAAGGGTTTTCCAAATGATCTTAGGCATTTTCTCAGTATCCCCACAATGAGGTAATGACCTCTCTTGACTGTGTAGCGAGAGGGGACCCGGGCTGGGAGCATATTGGATGAGACACRAGGGAATAAAGACTCCAGAAAATCAATTCCTCCTGCTCAGGAATGCACTGCTGCCTGCCACTGCCTCCCCTGCCCTCTGAATCAATCTGCACATGCAATTGTGCAGATTAGAAACCTGGAGCATCGATCAGCTCCACTCACAGTGGTTAACGGGCTGGCTGGGACATGAAGAGGGGCCGCAGCAGCCCCTTCTGCAGAGGTCACAGGATTGTCTCCAACCACACAGGGAGAACAAGGCAGCTGCATCCCAGCCAACCTGTGTCACTGCTGCCTTTGGGAATGTCTGCTTTTAAAACCCAAACTCTGCGGCCACGAAGAGGCCACGGAGACCAGTGCAGGGCCATGGGACGTGCAGGATCAGCCCTTGATGTCTGTGTTACCTAGGACCGTGTCCCCAAGCCTTGCTCTGCGGTGGTGCTCAATGGGGCATCTGCTCAGGATGCTACGAGGAGCCGGCGTGGAGCCGGAGCAGGGTGGGCCAGGCAGCCCTTCCTGCTTATCCAGCTCCTGCCACTCCAGCTCAACCACTCACAGCAGGACAATCTCATTGAGTCTGCAAAGAATCAARGGGGCTGGCAATGAGCAGACTGCAGGGGCGTCCTCTTGCAGACTGCTATCATGAGAGCTACCGGGCTGGCCAGCTCCAACACRTCTCTTCTGCAGCTGCACCTTCCCTCTGCCCGCTCAGCACATGCATGGGGCCATGGCATTGGGGCAAGCCCCCCAAACGTGGGGCAGTGAGAGGGGGATGAGGCCCCCCTCAGGGCTCTCCTGCAGGATCCTGCCKCATCCCTCCACTGAACTACCCGATCCCACATCTAATCCTTCGCCTCTGAGACCCACTTCATACCCAAGCCCTGAGTAACGGCTGCTAATATCCCGATAACATTCCGGAGTTCGGGCAGCGAATGGGAGGACTGTGTGGGGCAGGAGCCCACGCTGCCGCCCGCCGCGGGGGCTGGGCAGCCGGATCCCGGCACGCCGCGCRGCTTTCCGCAAACGGCCTTCCCAGATGTTCCTGCTGCTGGTGGGGCTCGGCCAAACCGGGGAGCGGAGCCAAGCGCGGGGCCAGGCGGCGAGAAGGGCTGCTCTGCACCACGGGATGTCACAGTGACATTTCTCGCTGGTTCAGCACAACTCTCCCAGGGCCTGGCTGGTCCCGGGCTTGGAGATTTATTGACCCAGGGCTCCACTGGCTCCGAGGACGGCGCGGCGCGTGCTCCCAGGAGAAAGCTCCAGTGTTTTCTTAGGAGGCGTGGAGGAGTTTCCTCCATCGCCAAGTGTTTACTTAACCAAAATGGGCCCTGCTCACGCTGGGGCATCATTTTTCATGCGGGACCCTGCTAGGGTGTAAGTAATACCTGCTCCTGTAGGAGAGGAGGAACCAAGGCCACTTCGGGATGTGTCCAGAGGGCTCCCTGAGCCAAGCAAGAGTAGAAAGGAAAGCTCAGCTCCAAAGGGAGGCCAATCCTGCAGGAAAACTTCCAGCAGCTGAGCAGCTCTGCTGACTTTGACCCCTCCACACCTACAAGATCTTCCTTGGAAAGGAAGGGATTTTGAAGGACACGTGTCCTATCAGCTGGAGGAGTCAACCCGACCCTGTATTGAGAATCCTTTTCATGTCCTTCCAGTCCTGCGTGCRAAGCCTGCAGGGCTGGCCAGACTGACACCTGGCTCTGCACTGGGAGCTCTGCAGACATAATCAGAAGCAAAGACGGGTTCTGCTGGGCTGGCAAAACCAGGTTCATACCCAGAGCCACCCAGAGCACAGACCTGTGCAGGAAGAGATTGGGACTGAAATCTCCTGTCTCCGCCAGGAGCCAAGTAGAGCTCACCAGCAATCAACACAGCTGTGATTTTACAGCAACACCAGACAAAAGTTGGCAAAGAGGCACCACTTAATCAAGTCAGATAAATGTGATTGCTCCCTTGATTGAGTTACCGAGTTAATAGATGACAGAGACACAAGAGAAAGATATCTAGATGATGCTAAACCATTTGACACCACAACTCAGGAAGTTTGACTTAAAAAAATCCTTCTAATTGGGCAACTGCCCTGTCACATGGGTGGAAATCTGATGGAAAAGCGGTGCCACAGAAGGGTAAAGAAACGCCAGAATAGGGGGAAGGGCCTAGACAGGAGCCGCCGTAGGCCTGATTTTATTTAACATCTTAATTGACGATCTGGAAGAGGGAAGTAAACAGCATGTTAATTAAATTCATGAAGGAAACTAAATGGGGAGGCAGTGCTCAGGGCAGGCAGGGCACAGTCTGAAGGCCACGGCGGGGTCAGGCACAGGCCAGCCAGGGGATGGAGCAGGGCTGGGGACAGGCCCTGCCGGGAGCGGAAAGGCCGAGGCCAGGCTGCTTGGAGAGGAATGGCAGGACCTCCAGCCTGGGAGGTGACCAGGCCTCCCCGATGCAGCCCTGTGGATCCCTGTGTGGGACACATACCCCAGTCCCGCTCCTGGTGCTGTGACATCCTTACCTGGGACACAGCCTCCTGCTCCGGCCTCTCGGGCTCCCACAGGAGCGTCAGCTCCGGCTTCCTCCCCACCTTCTGGAACTGGAAGCCCACCAAGGGCAGCGCCTGCGGGCAGGGAGCACGTTGGGAACAGCCTGTACCCCTTGTCCTGCGCCCCAGTGACACCTCCCCATGCCACCGACCCCACTTCCATTTGCTTTTGCCCAGGGCACTGCATGAAGTTGTCTGCAGGGCTGCACCAGCCAGGGTGCTGCAGCCCGTGGGTGCGAGCTGGCCATGGAAATCAGGGGCTGCTGCGATACACAAACTGTCCATATATCAAGCTATATGTCCTGTGTAAAGGTGTCGTTGCCAGCCATAGACAGGTTATTAAGAGAAGATGCTGTCACTAACTGCAGGTGCTGGCCTACAGTGGAGCAGTCATAGTCCTAGATAAGACTGCGACTAAGTGAAATGAAAACCAGCCGTGCTCCCTTTCCTTGCTTTAGACCATGCTGATCTCTGTCCCCACAAACTTCCCTGTATTTCCTTTTCCTGGATTAGATAACCCACAGAACAGAGCGGGGAGAACCTGGTCCCAGAGACTGGTCGGCTCCAGATCTCTCCGTGTCCTTGCGCCCTGTCGGCAGCAGGAACGCCAGGCAGAGCCAACGGGGGTGTTTGTGCCCGGGCTCTGTTCCCAGAGGCTGCCCTTTCCTCACCTTGTCCCTTGGCTCCCACCCCTGTGGCTGTCCCAGCTCAGGATGAAGCTGTGGCTCCCCCAGAGGACCCCAGGACACCYGCTCCCTGCTCCGACAGCCCAGGCTGTTGCCAGCTTTGCTGCGGCYGGATCCAGGGAAGCAGTGTAAGGTAATCAGTGAGGCCGCGGCACTTACGTTGCAGTAAATGCGCTTCTGCACTCCAAACTTCAGCACCAGGACATCAAAGGCCTCGTTCAGGACACCCATTACCATGGCCTCCGACTCCAGAGGACCACACTCCTGTCAAGAGACAGCGCTGTCACTACAGCAGCACCCCACATCCAGCCATCCTCACAGGGAGCCCCATCTCAGCACAGCGCCCATGTTCCCAGGGAATGGCCGGTCTCAGCTGTTCCTTCATGGGGAAGCCCAGAGATGCTCTGGGGAATTCACAGCTCTCACCCTGACAAAGACGGCGAAGAAGAGGTCAGCGCTGAGCTCCTGCACCCTCTTGGAAGCCATCTTGCGGTCGTTGCAGTGGTCTGCCTGCAGCTGGATGGCCTCCTTCTCCATCTTGATGGGAGCACTGGTGCCTGGGAGGGAGACAAGCAGTGGTGAGGGCCCATCCTCACTCTCATTGCAGCCATGCCCCATAGCAGCCTGGACATGGGCGTTCAGCTCTGCCCTGTCCCGCTGCCAGGTCAAGGGCACCACCACGTGAGGGAGCTGTCCAAGCGGGAAGCAGACTCCAGGTCTCCCACGGCAGGCAAGGCAGGAGGCCAGGAGTCCGCAGGCAGAACCGTGGCCTCCTCTCTCAGTGCCCAGAGGTGCCAGGCAGTGCTGGGAGCCGGGCACGTGGCCCGGTGGCACTCACCGAGCGAGGCCGAGAGCAGCCGGTGCACGACGATGTCCGCGTAGCGGCGGATGGGCGACGTGAAGTGTGTGTAGAAGGGCACGTTGAGGGCATAGTGGCGGAAGAGGGTCTCGTCCTCCAGGACTCCGGTGCAGAAGTACAGAGCCATCTGGAAGCAGTGGGCAGCAAGGGAAGGGTGTGAGCACGGACCTTCCTGCACCCTCGTGTGCAGCAGCTCTGCCGGGCAGCGAAAGCCAGGGGAATTTTACAGTGCTGCAGAGAACGCGCCCTTCTATCCTTGAGTAATGACATGGATCTGTTTCTGTCCTAAGAGATGCTGGCCCTGCATTGCTGATGACCCATCCGTCCCACCAGACTCATCAGCTCATCCTTATGCTCCCAGTTGGGCTTTCCTGCCAAACTTTCCTGAAGGAGGAAGATGAAGGGCTGGTGGCAGGCGTCTGCACGAGCCTGCAGGGACCTGTGCCTGCGAGATGGGGGATTCAGCTGCTCCAAGCCAAGCAGAAAAAGGTCCTTCACCCACAGGCTCGTTCAGCTGCACAGACCCAAGGTAAGTGCTGCAGCAGCCACGATGCAACAGCGGATGTTCTCCCAAAGAGCAGCTCCTGTGCCAGACTCATGTGGAGCCACAGGTTCTACACACCCATCCCCTCTGCGTGCAGAGCACTGGTGGCCGGGACCCGCTTCCCTCCGTGGAGGAGCCAGCCCCGCTGTGATCCCGCTYGCCTCCTTCCACAGCGGCAGCTGGGCAGCGGCGCGGCTGGACCCCCAGCTACACCCTGCGCTCCCCAGCAGCCTCTTCAACGGGAGCCTCGCTTGGCCGCCCCTCTTATCACACATGTTCCAGCCTTTATTTTCACATGTGTGAAACAGCTGCCCTCGGGGCTGGGAAAACAACAGGGCCGGAGCGCAGGCGGGGAGGGGCGGGCGGGCAGGTCAGYGGGTTGCGCCGGGGTCACGGCGCCACGGCGAGTGAATGAACCCGTTTAAAAATAAGWGCAAAAGATTTAAAAACAACGGGAGTAGCTGGCTCTGGTTACAGCGCTGCCTTGGGATCCACGGTTTGGGCAGCTGTCTCCTCCGCTCTGCAGCCCAGCGGCAGGGCCAGCTCCCGCTGAGCCGCAGCGCACTGATCCGGGCAAGTCAACAGAGCAGGTTAAAAAAAGCAGCATCGGTCCCAGCCTTATTATGAGACCCAAGAGCGGGGATAGGAGCTCTGACGGCTGCCAATTTCCACAGCCCAGGACTAAATTGTTTCTGATGGACTCCACAAAGCACGACCTCCACTCAGTTAGCTCAGCTCCCACTGAATCCGGCTCTGTGCGGCTGCGCGGGGCACACGCTGAGCTCCCAGTGCTGGGTTTCTGGCGTGGGACAGGATGAGTGTCCTGTGCTTTGAAAAGCATAATATTGCACAGCAATATTCAGGGTACTGAAGTCAGGCTCACAGGTGGGACAATGCCGAAGGTCCTGGGCTGCTTTTGGTCCAGGACCCTTTTTTGATGCCCTGTTGGCAGCTCATGACCCTCACAGAGATTGGAAACAGCTTGGCTGTCATTGTGAAAATACTTCTTTGGGTTGTGGCAAGGATACATAGTGCAAGGAGCCCAGTTTGATACCTTTCTGACACCTGCCCTTGCCACCATAATAGCACCAGTGACACCAGCCTGACGCAAGGCAGATGTTTGCTCATTAACAACTTCCTCTGACAAATGGTCTCAAATCCTCAGGGTCTGACTGCTGCAGTCCCTGGGAGAACTGCAAGGAGCCTGGAAACAAATTACCCCCAGCCAACCAGGGGCGACTTTGCTCTTCCAGACAGATTGAATCCCCGAGTGAGTGAGCCCCTGAAAAATGGCATGTCACTGCTCCTTCATCTGTTACGGAACTCCTGGCAGGGCAATCCAAGCGCTCCTGCAGACACGCGTTACTGGTTGCTTCCCAGCTCCCTCCTCCTCCAGGTGGCTGATATCTTGACCACCAAAATACAGGGAAGATGGAAGATGGTCACTTGACACGAGCACGGCTAAGGGCAGCCTGTTTTGGCTGATTTGTCTGCAACCTTGTTCGTGAAACACGAAGTTTATCACTGGGACCTGCAGTGTTTGCAGGAATATGGGTCGCCCGGCAGCGCCCTGGGCCTAGATGGTCTCTCGACACCATCTGTCAGAGCGGGAGCCCTCGACACTCGCACGGCATCTCCGTCTGGTGCCGGCTCTGCAGCTGCCAGAGCTYGGGCCTGGCCTCCGACTGGGGCACCGAGGGGGTGATCCTTCCATCTGCTCAGGAAGGGGGTGATCCTTCCACCTGCTCTATCCGTACTGGGACCAGTGGCACACAGGAAAAARTCGTCCTCCCCGGGAAAGCTCTTTCCACTTGGTAGCTCTCTGTCCTTTCCTAGGGGTATTGATGGGGATGTACTACCCATCCTCTGCATTTAGTAGCTGGAATAACAGTGTCATCCTGCTGGCCCAGCACGCAGCGAGTGTGATCAACAGACAGAGTGCAGAGGATAGCACTGCTGTTTCTCACCCCAGCAGCACTGTGGTACTTCCAGACAAACTGTAGGTTGTATGGACACACTGCTGCATCTATGTGCTGGATCACACTGGAAAACAACCCTAAAGGCAGGAGGATGTGTACATTCACCTGGCTGGTGGCTTTGGGCAAGTTTGAAATTTCGTTTACCAGCTAAGCAGTGATTCAGCTAATGACCAGTTGCATAATTCATCCTAGGATCCAGACKGAATTCAACTTCTTTTGTTTCCTGTACCACTCTCAACAACAAGAGCATCCCATCACAAATATCAGCATGTGGCAGGAAATGCAGAAGGGAAAGACACTTGCCACTTAGAGACAGGCTGTTGACAAGGGCTTGATGCTGAACTGGGCTTATAACGTCTGTAGGTTGCAAAGCTGAGTGTACAAAGGCAGGAGGTTTGCCAGGCAGGAGTGGACTGCACACCTGTACACAAGAGCACCTTGACCTTCTGATGATGGGATCTCACCTCTGCATTTGCCTGTCAGCTTCTTCTTTCAGACGAGGAGGGTGAGACAGAAAGGACCAGGACAAGCCAAACACAGGATGTGGGGCAGCACGGCCCTCTCCACAACACGCTGCCTGCTCTTTGGACAGCAGCACTACTGAGCTGAACACATTTTGCCACACGGCTTTGGTCCCCAAATCCACTTGCAAGCAAGCATTAAGCCATGAAAGTACAGCAGGACTTCAGGCAACTGCTAATGAGTAAATGGAGCAAATGAGCTAATTAGAAGAGTGACAGTCAAATGAGCGATGTTAGGAAGATAATTCATTCCTGCAGCGATAAGCAGGCCACAGCAGAGAGACCATTTCAGGAACATGCTCCTTCTCCCTGTGGGGTAGAATTTCCCTCAGAAGAGGCTGTATTGTGCCTCAATGCAAATGTAGAAACACAGATGCTTCATAAGAACTATTTTTGATGTTGATAAGCACCCAGATAAGTGTCCTGAGCTGCAGACACACCAAACACAGCAATCAGTGCAAGCAGCACAAGACTCCATCACAGAGACTTTTACAGAAGGTTTTCCTTGGCCTGGAGAGAAACCAAGGGTTTGCAGAGCATCCCTGCTTAAGAGCACAAGCCTGAGGGCCGGACTGTATGTTATGATCAGTCTGCATCATCCAGACTCCTTAGTCTTCTCTGCACAAGAAGCCAGTGTGGATTGTGTGGGTCACACAGTGTGGGTCAGTGCCACACTGCCAAGCACTGACCCACACAGTCCACAGTGTGGACTTGAGGAGCTGGCATGAACAAGAGTCCTGGAGTCTGTCACCAGCTACTTGTGCGGCAGGGTCTGCCAACACATCCTCTTTAAGTGTGAGACGCTTCAACTGCTTGTAGGTTTGGGATGGGAAGACTCATCCAGAAAAGCTCTGCTGCTCTGGGACTTCAGCATGGGGTTGAAACATTGGCTGGGAGCTGCTGGGAGCCCCACAATACCATGTTCAGTGTTGATTTACCTTCCCTTTTTGCAATAACTGCTACAGAAATGCAGAGGGAGCCCTGCGGGGAGATGGGACATAGCAGGGAGCTCCAACCAGATGCATGGTGCCATCCTTACCTGCATGGGCCTGGAGAACATGTTGGTCAGCACTTCTTTCCTGGCTTCGGAGTATTTGTCAGCACCAAACGTTTCATTTAAGCTTTTCTGGAAGAGAAAAGAGAGCGTTGGCAAGCAGCGGTGGCTGAGGGACCCAGACAGACCTTACTGGGACAAATAGGCAGCTTGTCAGAGCAAATTGCCCTGATTCCTTACAAATCCCCTTGAAAAGTGCAGAAAGAGCTGGGTTCTGGCTGCAGCAGCCAGCTCACCCTGGTAGGATGGCACACACAGCACTGCCAAGCACTGACCCACCTCCCAGGGTCAAACACAGCGGGCACACAGGCACAGAGGCCGCTGGCTCCATCCCCAGACACGCAGCGTGCCGGGGCACCCAGGAGCCCTCTCCCTGACCCGGGCCTGGCTCCTTTCCAAGGCTGAGAGCTTCAGTGCAYGGGCTAACAGGACTCTGGGGAGATGCAGATACGAGAGGTCACTGCTTGGGGCCAGCAGCAAGGAAGAGAAGAGAGGGTTCAAAGTGCACAAGAGAAGCTGAGCGCACAGTCCCGCGTCTGCTGACTTAGCTGTGGCACAGCCAGCAAGCAGGGAAAGCAGCCCCAGCTGATGGAGTGGTGCAAGGGAGGCCAGCAGGGACAGGATTAACAGAGGATTATCCACAGTCCAGTGGTAGTGGGGAAGGAAAATCCTGGAACCTGCGCTGGGCTGTTCTGCTCGAGTTCAGTCTCGGGACACGCTCAGCAGAGGATCGGTTCGGTACCTCCCTCGCTGGCTGTGTCTGACCTTTCCCAGCACTGCTCTCTAGTCCTTCCCAGTCCCCGTTCCCTRCCCTCCACTCCCTGAGACCTTCAGCAGCCCAGACAGAAACACCCCCTTTCAGGGCTCCTTTTCTTATGGTACAGAGCAAGCAACTGGTTCACAAACCTCCTGCAAAGGAAATCTGGGTGTCCAGGGAGCGCCCTGCCCTGGGACACCCTTTCTATTGCCCTGTTTAGCAGGGAGAGCAGTAACTTGGGTCACTTGCAAGGTCTCCCAGACCCTGCTCTAAGCTTTGTGCACATGACAGCCAGCCAGCAGTGGCTGGGCTACCTGRAAACAGATGCTGCTGCAGCAGGAGTTTCATTCTGGGATGGATGAGCTGCTTGGGCAAAGGCCAGGGTGACTGCACTGTTGCTCTTCAACCCCAGAGCTGCTCAGTTTGAGGAGGCTCTCATTCCTTCCCTTTCCTCGACAGCAGTTCTCTCCTACCTGTGCTTCAGGAGCTGCAGAGAGGCACTGACCCCCCACACACGTGCTGTGCCCTGAGGCTCCAGCAGTTTTATAGACCCCCAAGAGCTCCTGCACGGCCAACACTAAACGCAGCCGCGACGCCACCGCCCGCCCTGCGCCCCGCGTCCCCGGCTCRCTCACGTGCAGGGCCCCGGCGCTGCTGAAGTCGATGTCGAGGCCCACTTGGTCGCAGAACTCCATGAGGTCGTTGAGCAGCTTGGTGTGGGGCGGCGGGTGGCGGCGCAGCAGCGCTTGCTCGGGGAAGCAGCGGTAGATCTGATGGGCCACGGCCATGTTGGCGAGCAGCATGAACTCTTCCACCAGCCTGCAGGAGAGAAAAACACCCCGGGGCCCCCGGTCAGCGCTGGGGGAGCCCTGGGAAGCAAAGCAATACACCCAGTACCAACCCGGTTGGCCCAGGCAACACATTGTGACGGGAACGAGGAGGAGAACTCGGATGGGAACACAGAAGGGAGAACGGCTTCGAGCTGCTGTTATAAAAGAAGATTAGACCTGAGACTGCAGCAAATCCCCMCCCATATTCTCATTTTCTAGCTGAGGTGTCCCCGCGGACTTGGAGAAGGCCAGCCTACTAGCGCAGACAGGCAGAAGTCAAGGATAAACTGATAGCTTAATTTAGGAGAAAATAATCTCCTTTTAGGTCATTTTATCTCCCGAAGTGCTTGACAAGCATAACAAGCGCAGTGCAGGAGATAGCACGGAAAACAAACACGCGTCGCTGTGTTCCCAGGCCAGAGAAAACAGCGTCTCGCTTGCTCCGCCGTCCCGAGATCGACGTGGGTGGTCAGGCCCGGGCGTGCGGCGCTGCCCTCGCACCGCCTGCCTCTCAGAGCGGAGCGGGCGCTACCAGGGCTCTCCGGGCGCTACTGGGGCTCTCCAGGCAGTACTGGAGCTCTCTGGGCGCTACTGGGGCTCTCCAGGTGCTACCAGGGCTCTCCGTGACTTGGCCCCCTGCTCTGCTGTGAAGATTACTGGGCTAACCTGGCCTGGGTGAGCAGCCTTCCTCTGCCTCATACGGCYATCGAATGGAAATCTCCAGGCTATCCATGGTGAAGAAAAGCAATCTCCATGCTAGAGAGCATCTCTGGCGCGTTACGAGTTATGCTACCAGCAGTAGGGTTGGCTCACAGGAGACCCGTTTAACTGGGCTTAGATAAGCAGCGAGACGCGCTTAACTGGTCTTCCTGCGCTTTGCTGCTGCATTCCCCATGGCTCCTAACTCCTGCTAATTGCCTAAAGAGATAATAGAGCTACAAAAGTAACCGCATGCTCCAAGCAATGCCCAAGCAAGCTGCCACTGATCACGCTGGCACATTTCCATTGCTCCTGCACATGCCGTGGTAATTCGAGGAGTATTTGGGAGCACCTGGGACACAGACAGGGAACCTGCAGCTCTCACCACGAYGGGCTGGCCAGATGAGCAGGGCCCTGCATTCCCAGGGCACTTGCTATGGCAGTGATGCGTTYGCAGTCATCAAGTACTTGCCAAGAACTCCAAAGAGAAAGGAAATAATTAAAGAGAAGCCCAGAGGAGGAATAAGTGCATGACAGCTGCAATCAGCGGTGRAAATGTTCATAGTTTGGAGGAAGGAGGGCTGTCAGGAAGAGCTCCGCGGAGGCTCCGGGGCAGGGAGCACATTGCCCTCAAGAGGACAACACTTGAAACCAGCGGGGAAGGCAGGACCGTCGCTGTCATAGAGACAGCGAGGAGAACGGCGTGAGGAACAGGACAGTCTTGAATGGGATGGGAAGGGGCCGCTCATCCCGTCCCCAGAAACACCCCGAGCGCGCCGATGCTGCGAGGAGGCCGATGGAGCCAGCGAGGCGGCCCAGCACAGGGCGTGAGGGCTGCGGGAGCCGCAGCAGGGCCCGGACGCGCTCCGGACAGCCCGTCTCCCCACGGCTGAGCACAGACCTTGCTGCTCCTGTGCGCCTGAGCCAGCAGATGGCAACCTCGGCCCCTCTTTGGCCCCCGGCACCAGGGGCTACGGGACAGCGCGGCCCAAGGGTGCTGGGCGCCCGCGCTGGCTCTGCCTGCGGCACCGCGGGCCAGGGCACCGAAGGGCGCCTGGCGGGTTGCAGTGCAGCCACCCCATGTCCCGGAGGTGCTTGTGGGCTGCCCGAGAAAGGCAGCTCCTCTCCGTGGATTTGGGCAATGGGAGACGTTTCCAACGCCACATGGGCACGTACATGGGTGGAGGCCACACAGCCTCTCTGCCTCCTTGAAACACGGTGGGGATTGGGACCTTTGGAGGGAGGTGTAAAAACCTTGTTAAAAAAACAAACAATAACCCCATGCACAAACAGCACCGCCTCCCTGTTGTGGGCAACGTGGTTCTCTCTCATCCTAGAGACAAGCACTTGACTGAGCACTCAGGCACTCTGCAAACCAGCTTGTCCCTGGCGCTCACAAGAGTGTGAGGCCTCTAGCTTGTCACTCCAAATTATTAAATTCTGCATTTTGTTTTGCCATTTGCGAGGGGCAAGACCTCTGTGGCTAAAGGGACAGTCTTTGCTCCTAGCAGCTCTGGAGCACCCTACTTGAGCACACAGCTTTGGGGGAACACGGACGAGGCTGGACACCGTGCTATACATGCACTCAGGCAGAAAGAGAAGCCCGGGACSCTCGTGCATGTGCCCTGTGGACATGCATGAAGCCCTTCATGTGCCCTTCCTCGCTCCCACTGCCATGGGAGTCACTGAGCTACTCCTCAAACGCGCCCCATTTGAGCAACCCAGTCACTGCTGCAGGAGCAAGATGGGGTTGTTCGGTGGTAACTCCCAGAAAGGTTCATTTTAAATGTGATTCCTCAAAATATAGTCCTCAGGGAGAGGAAAACACCCCTCCGTGCAGCAGCTCTCCGAAGGGAACAGTCACAGCTAGGCTAATCCAGAGCATGTGAGAGTCTGACGGAAGGGGCTGGGACAGCAAACAAGCTGGCACCTGCACCCAGAGTCAACCCAGGTCACCTCGTCCAGCAGAGAAAGGGGCTCTACGGGGCAGCTCCCCCRGAGCGAGAGGCTGGGATCTGCAGAGAGGGGCTCAACGCAGAGGTCTCGCTGTGGGACTCGCACTGAGGCTTCACACGGGACACAGCCCAGAGAGGAGGACGAGCCCAGGGCTCAGAGGGCGGCTAAACCAGCCCAGGTTGGGCTGCTCAGGAGCAGCAGAGCGCGGCYGGGCCGCTGCCTTCTCGCCCACCTGGTAGCCTTCCCTGCTGCCATGCAGCACCGGGACACGCTGCAGGAAACRCCGCGGAATTCAAGCCAGGATCCTCCTGTGTTTTCACTAGCCCATTTTCAAAGCCAGCTGCCACGCGCTGCACTTGGAGCAGGTGTCCTCGTGGGGCTCGCACCTCCGCAAGAGCTGCTCCGCGGCTTGGGAATAGGGAGCGGATGGATCAGGCAGCCTGGAGCTGGAGCGCAGCCAGGGCCAGGCAAGTGCCTGGCACTGTCCTTACCGGGAGCAGCGCTGAAGCCCCGCGAGCTCCTCAGCAGGTCAAACGACAAGAGTTTTTCTTTTTCTTTTCTTAAAACAGCCCAGCYTGGAGTTTGGCTCCGCGTGGCTGGCAGAGCGGAGCACAAAGAAAAATATTTCACGGCTAAAAAAGCGGAGACAGAAAGACTAGTCCCTCTGAACGCGCGCTGAATGAATCCCATGTGAAACGCATTCTAACGCCATCGCTACAGTTTCCTCTGGATTAGCTGAGCTATCCTTGGCTCCGGGCTCCATAAAATCCCATAAACAATATGGGCTGAACTTTTGCCCTTTCCCTGCTCAGGCGAGGTCTCCTCCGCTGTCCTGCACGGAGCGGTGCGGGTAGCAGGTGGCTCTGCCTCCCGTAGGTGCTCGAGATACCAGCTGTCCTGCGCGCCGGGGCGGCGCGAGGGAGCCTTTCCAAACCTGCTCCATGCATCATTTAGCCCGTGCACATGTGAGAGGGAGGAGAGGGAGGGCTGGGAYGGCTCGAGAGGTCCGTAACACGCGCAAGCATCTTCCGCAGCCTCTTTCAAGACCCGGATTTCGCTTATGAGTTATGGGCTCGGTGCAGGAGCTCGTGGGTGAAATTCTATAGTCTGCCTTATGCAAGAGGTCAGGCAGAGGGTAGGCTTTTCAGAAGCGCTCGCCTCCTGGGTTCAAGCGTGATTGTGGCATGTCAGCTTCTAAATCCCCCTGACTGCTGGGGGGATTTCAGGCTCCTGAGATGCTCTTAGACTTGGTGCTTTTCAAAGATCCTTAACTGATGGTCTTTGCTCCTGCAGGCAGAGAATAACCTTCCTGGAAAGTATCCAGCTGCGGGGGACTGATACTGCCCTGATGGCTGCCCCCAGGGCAAGTTGCTGGGCTGTAACTCCCCTCACCCTGCTCCTACCAGAGCAAAACGTCTGCGGGACAGAGGAAGAGGTGCTAAACATCCAGACTATGCAACTGCTTTAGCAACAGTGATAAGATTTGGTCTGTAAAAGGTTAGCAAAACTCCTCCTGATCTCTTTACAGCAACCTTGAAAAACCATCCACACCCTCAGCAAGTTGTTTTGTCAATGGCAAATAAATAAAATACGGGGTTTCCACGCCGAACCTCAGCGTTGCAAGGCAGGCAAGTGAAATGCCTGTTTGGCTGCTGTGTTTCCATGGCAATGCAGCCAGGCTGTACAATAGCCATCTAAGTGCCCACTCTCCCTGATTAACTTGACAAACGGCATTAGCAAATCAAGGTTTGCTGAGCAGGGAGAGACAAGAAGGACTTGGTTTGCAATCTGGCCAGGGCAGGAAGGAGGCCGGCAGCCTGGTTAGGGCAGAGGCTCGTCCAAACATTCCACCTGGGGAACAGACCCCGTAGCTCAGAACAAATGACACGAGGCACGGCCACATGGATGAGCACAGCTCTCTCCCCATGCCTTCTGATTCCCCTCCATGGGCTCCCGGACGATGGAACTGCTGGGTGTATTCCAGGCACTGAAGTATTTTCATTGCTGAGACCSAGGCAGGGAGATTAAACCCCAAACACTACGCAGAGCTCTCACRGCTGGGTTTGCTGTGCTTTCGACACGCTGGAGAAGTCGGTCCCCTCGTTGCCTGTTGCTCACTGGGGCAATCTGCTCACAGCCGGATGCAGCGGAACTGCCCTGAGCTGGAGTCAGCGCTTTCCTTCCAACAGGCTCCCCATCCAGTTGGGTGAGTTGGCACAGTTTAAAGCTTCCCAGCTCCTTCCAGCATCTCAGACTTCTTCCCAATGTTCAAACTCCTTCCCAAGCTCCGGATGACTGTGCACATGGGTTTACACTCCCTGCTCAGCACAGGTC